CTGGACCTCAACCGCAAGGATCCGATCGCAGTGTGCACCGCTGGACCTCAACCAGATAGTTTGCCAGATAGAATGCAAGAAGATGTCATGGTGGGGATCACTCGAAGTAAAGTAATTTTTGTTGAGATGAAGAAAAATTAGAACTGAGGTTTTAAGAGTGAGAAATGGAAGACACTGACACGGGAGATGGTCACTGTCATTCACTGTCAGGGGGAGATTCTTTCCGTGATGTTATTGGAAACTCTGGGCCGGAATTGACACGGAGGGTTCCATCGCACCGAGACTACAAACCAGACCGACCTTTCCTTTCACATTCATTCTTGGAAGGCTAGGGAAAAGGAAACTTGGACGCTGATACTTCACCCCTATGTCCGATGTACCTTGGTAGTCCGTCTATGTCAGGTGCGCGACCCAGGTGCAGTTCATGGCTACTGTTTGGATGGCAGTGGAGTGTTTGGAACTTCAGGTCCCGGGTCTTAATTTTTGAAACTGTCCATGAAGCTGCCCACGAGGAACAAAAAAACACCCCCAGAAGATCCATGCTTGACGCCACGCCACGCCGTAGTGTTTTTTGGGCCACATCGATGTGGTGTGGAGTTCCAGGCACCACTTGTTGTTCTATTGAATTCTATTGATTTCCCATGAAGCGACATGCCGGAGGGGGGTCCCCACATGCCGTGACATGTCTCTTTGACAGGTGAAGGCCTTCATTACCTATGCCTATGAACCTGAGGAAGGGCCGCTTGGTGATGCACATGGATCCATCCATCGGTGGTTTGTAGCAACTTGCTTTATTAAGAATAAAAAACATTCATTGTAAAGAGCCTGTTTTCAAATTTTTTTAAGAAGTCAAAAAACAAGTCAAAACAATCAATCCCAAAAGTCAAAGTCAAAAAACAGGTCAAATCAGTAAGTTTCAGAAAGTAAAAAAAATCCATTTGCCCAGATCCGACTATTTTGACGTTTATTTGTTCGATTTTTTTGTTTGTTTGTTTTTTTGATTTTTGTTGATTTTTTGTTGACTTGTTTTTGACGTTTTCGAGTTGTTTTTTTTTTTTTAATTGCTGTTTTTTTCGACCTTTTGTAAAACATGTTTTTTTCTTGGAAGTTTCGATCTTCTATGGCTGATTTTTTTTTGACTTTTCAATTTGTCATTTTTTGACTTTGACTTTTCCAGTTGATTTTTTTTGACGTTTGTTCGACGTTTATTTTTTGTTATCAAGGATTCTGGCCTTACCATATGAAAGTTGTTTATAAAACTTGCCGGTTGGGATCAGCTCCTTTTCAGGTTCGGCAGGACAATATGACATACACTGAAGGTATACATGCACACTCATGTGCACATGAGCCAAATGTAAATCGTCTCAGTCACACGACTTGCACATGCCTGCAGAAAAAACTCAAATCGGACGCGCCATGCCAAAAAGCGAGTCAATCGTTGGAATCGAAATGCCACACAGCTTTCGCTTTGACCGCTCATGGGCGTTTCGCAAGCACTTTCTGCCAGGATATGTTGTTTTTGGTGGGGGGTTGACGTGCTGATCCAGTGCCATCCTGAACCCCAGCGTCCAATGCTAAGTTAAGGTATGTACATTGGCAGCATGCCCATCAGTGATCATGGAGGGTTCCCACCGAATACACCCCAAGTCTCGCGCCGTGTTTTCGTTTTCTCATGATTACTCCGCTGGGAAAACTAATATGGACCCTAAAAGCCACAGGTTTGTACAAGAAAACGGTCTTTGAGGGTGCCATTCTCAGGGTCCATGTTCGTTTTCGGGAGTGTATATAGTATAATAATACTCACCCAAGTCCTGAATCCTTGGAATCTTTGAGGAAACGGGTGGAGGTGAAAGGAGCCAGTGTGCCCGTGATCAGCTGGGCTGCCTTGACCAAGTTGGGCGCATCGGACAGCCACTGGGCTCAGGACAGGAAATCCGCTGAGGGGTTCCGGCGGCTGGGGCGAGACTCACAGGGCTCGTCAGCCTCACAGGGACAGCCAGTCCCAGGTTCCTGCGGGCTAGACCGGCCTATAGGCAAGACTTTGGGACATGCGTTTTCACTTCATGTAGACTCTTGATTCATAAAACACCGCATTTGGCTTGGATGATAGTCTTTCAATCAAGAAGTCTACATGATGGGATCGGGGCTTCTTCGCTGTGCTCGCCTGTGCTCGCCGCTTGGATCCAAGGCGAGCTGGATGCCAAGTTGGAGGGCCGAAGTGCCATGGCCCCTGGGCCTTCCAAACTCGCGGGTCGCCCTGCGAGAGAGGGGAACTGACACGGCCTTCAACGGCTTCACGTGCTCCCAGACACGACGAATGGGACTGCCATATGACGACGAATGGGACTGCCATAATTGATGAGTTGGGGTCGGGTGCTTGATTTCAGGGGTCAGTGTAGGCAGAGCTTCTAGTCCCATAAAGGACATGATGCTGAAACCAATAAGAGGGGTCAGAGGTTTTTACAATGGGACGACTCAGCGCTTTACAACCAGTTGAAGTCAACGTCAGATTTACATTCTTGTACACCTGGTGCACTCAAGTCAACTCAACCGCATGAGAGTACAGCACAGAAGCATCCTAGTAGAGTCCAATGTCTTTTGCTGGATTGATTTTGATGGTCCCATAGATGAAATGTCTTGAATACCAGGGCCTCATCCCTTAAACAATATGCTTTTTTTTTTTTTTTGTTGAGAATACGTGAGGCAACAGCAAAACAGAGTGAAACTCGTGGGCCTCCTCCAGTTGGAATCAATTGATTCTCGGAGACGGTCCTGAGGTGAAGCCTGGCCATTGCTGTGCTTTGGTGTATACCTCGGGCACCACGGGGGAGCCGAAGGCCGTGATGATTAGCCACGACAACGTGGTCTTTGAGGTGTGCTCCTTCATGAAAATCGCAGGCAGGACTGGTGAAGTGACGTGATTCTTCAGCCTCACCCTGCGAGACCTCAACAGGTGGCCAGAAGAGGTTTGCTTCCCTTCATGACTTCATGAATCATTTGGAGGAAGGGTAACCTGTGGTGACCCTAAAACAGATAGGAAAGTACACGAAAAGTGAGCCCACTTCAATAAGCAGTCAGTTTCCAGAGGGAATGGGGGGACCACTATATAATATCATAATGAGAACATGATTGGAAGACAGCAACGGAAGAACCTGAAAAGTCATGAAAAGTTGCGTTCCAGGTGAGCACATGGGCTTTTGCCGTGGTCCGAATCCTGAACGCATTCTTTCCTACTTGCCCTTGTCACATGTGGCTGGCCTTATGGTGGACATTGCCTTCCCAGTGGTGGCCTCCGCGACTACATCGATTTATGCCACCACCTTCTTTGCCAGGCTGGCTACTGTAGTTGTCTGAATGGATGGGGCAATTGATGGCTGGATGGATGGGTGGGGAGGTGGAGTGCAAGAATCATGTGCAGCGACAGCAGAAAGAACATGTCGTGTACAGTGTAGTGTAGATTCTTGAAATGCAATTCTCCCTCGCCAGAAAAATGATGCATCTCGCATCCCTGCAAACATGTTCCGAGCTACTTGTAGAGGAGCAACCTGCCAGAAGCACTTCAGGATCACGTTGAATCTCAGCACGGGGGCACATCACAGTTGTTTCACGCCATTTGCCAGGGTACGAACTTTGAGGCCTATGTACCCTACAGGATTTTACAATGCACACCCACCCAGCCAATCTATCCAGTCCCCTATGGCGGGCAGCTGAATTCATCAAGCTGCTTCCCAGGTCTTATGACTTGAAGCAAGGCACCCTGAAAGACCGGCTATGTGTGGCCCGGCCGACTGCCTTCCTTGGAGTCCCACTGGTTTGGGAGAAGATCGCAGACCGCATGAGGGCGCTGGGTGCCAAGAACAAGGGCATGAAGAAGGCATGAGGGTAGTTTTGTCCGTGGAGGATAGGTTTGTGTGGATGATGTGCGGTTGGGATATGGAACTATGTCACTTCCACGTAAAGGCGAATAGAACGATGTGATGAGAAGGGTGGGTGGGTCATTTCCACATCTACCATTTCATTCTTGTTTACCCTACTTCACATTCAACGGAAGTCATACCCCTAGGCTCCATTTGGGAAATATTGGAACCATCATGTTCATCTAAAAGGGCTGTAGTGTTAAGATATGGAGGCTCCCAACAACTCATCAAGCATCAGGCCCCATGGGAAGGGCAAATACGTAAAACATGAGTTCTTCGGCTATAGATACCTTCAGATGCTTGAACATCCTGTTGATGAATGCTACTGTCGATAAATGGCTTCTGTCTCTCTTTCTCACTCTAGAAGCACCTTTTGTTTGACCCGTCCGGGATGACACATCTCCTTCAGCCTTTAGAAAAGACCATTCGGCCAAAGACCCACCCATCTCCTTCAGGGGACCCATGGCCTCCCACCGGCCTCACGGCAGGCATTGGTCACTTGGGCCAAAGACCAAGCCTTGGCGAAGGCCAAGTCCCACCAGTTGGCCGGTGATGGCTCCACGCCCTTGGGCGCCTGGGGCAGAGGAGGGTGTTGCACTCGAGTTTGGTGAAAAGAGATGAATAGACAGTACCAGTGGTTTGGCTCTGTAAAGTACCTAGCAGATTTTAGGAGATTTTTAGACGGAACATGGCGGAACATAGATCATGGAAAATACCTGTTGCGACTGGGCCAGCCTGAGGTTTTGGCTTCGCAGACAAGCTGGTCCTGTCAAAAGTCAAGGGCGCACTAGGTGCAAGGGGCCTGCAGCGGGCGGGATTGCATCGATCCACAGTTTTTGGTGAAATGTTCCTCGTGAATACGTGCTAAAGATCTCGACCTGGACGTAGACTGGCAGTAAAACCATGTTGCCTTGCCGAGCCAAGTGCTACATAATCTACATACACTGCATTCTGCATTACTTGCTGCAACTGCAACGGCCCAGTGTTCTTGCAAGTTTCCTCCAGCTTCATACTGCTTCTACTCCAAAGCATCACCATTCCCCACGCTTTCCCTTCAGGATCCTTCGCATCTACACCGTCAACACGGCATACCTGGGTATATACCGCATATACACCGTGCCTTTTGGGGCTGGGCGTCTCGCGTGGCCGTTCGCGTCCGCCAGGGCTGGATCAATTGAAGCTTGGTTTGACCGGTGCCGCACCCATCCGCGTGGACACCTTGGAGTTCTTCGGCTCCCTTGGCCCCTCGGCGTCCGTGTCCCGTACCGGAGAGATCGGGTTTGGGGCGGCTGGAGCAGATGGCACCTGTGGTTGCTGTAAGCATTTGCGTAGATGCTTCGGCCTCGAAATGAAGCCCTTTCAGATCCTTTCAGAATGATCTTACTATAAGCCTCTCTAACCAGAAGTGGTACACATATGATATACTCTATTCCGAAGGTGCTTGGCATTGAAACATGTAGGTTTCATACCTTGTGCGCCATCTATACGGGTATGAGAACTTACCCAGAAACCAAGCATTGGACAGGGGATAATGGATGGCGTTTGTTTTTTTGAGAGGTCAGACATGCTTCCACTCACGAATGGCTCATAAGCACATGTCACATGTGGGAAACAAAGACATATTCAATGCAAACATGTTACCACATAAAGGGGGGAAAAAGAGTTTGAAGATTGGGATGTGGAACGTGAGGCCATGTCTATAGTAGATGGCGCCCCTACTTGGCACTTTGGTTTATGGTGTATCAAAGTGGCGCTTGCGCCATCTACTGTGTAGCCTGCGCATGTGCCATCTACCGCTCGCTCCCTGTGCCATGCACCTGGGGAAAAGTGTATTATGATATCATATAATGAGAAAGTTGTGTACATATACCCCGTTTCAGAATGATATGTCCTTTGCTTTGTATGTGTTTTATGCTGCTTGGCTTCAGCTCGAGAAAGCAACATTGTGTATGCATCTCAGGACCACAATAGAAAGACGTGAATGTTTGACTCAGGAACACCTTGGGCCATCCGGCTGTTGCCCTGCCCTGTGGTTGACCCCGGAACTGAGGTATCCAAGTGAATGAGACCTATGGCATGTCTGAAAGCACTGGCGGAGCAGCTGACCTGTCAAAGTCAGCAGAAGGAATTTGGCAAACAGTGGAACCACTTACCACCACAAAGTGGGGGTAACCCATCATCCAAGGATGTCCAAGGATGTACTGTAGTAGTTTCTTTGATAGTGGGATATGTGGGATACACCTCCGGTAATTTGCCCTGCCAGGCCTCAGAATGGCATTCAAGGTGAGGCTGTTGCAATAAAGAAATGACACTGACAAGTGCAGTGGAAAACTACCTGTTTGTAGAGGACAATGATCATCCATGAGGCTTTTTCCCTTTTTTCCAACTTCCATGATGATTCCAGGAAGTGTACCGGACCGACATGTCTCGGTTGGTGCTTCTCACCACGCAACAAAACACTGTTGTGCATGGACACATCCGTGCCGTGCCATACTGCAACGACATACAGGTTTCTTACCCCCGCGGAGACATGCTGCTTTTGTTGACCTCGATTCTGCCACGGGATTGTTGAAGGCTTAGCTTGAGATTCTAAGTGGGCGTTCCACGCAACTGAACGGCTGACCGCACGTCTCCACAACCTTCATAGACCACCGCGACCTGCGACCCGGCGATGTTGCGATGCGACTTCCGCGTGTGTTTCACGTGGCCCTTTTTGCGGAAGAGCACGGTGATTTCCAGCCACTTCCGAGGCCACCATCTCCACCAGCTTGGTTCATTTGTGGGGCTCCTGTGGCTTTCAACTCCCAGGTGTCGAGGTCAAAGCCTTCAAGGCCGACTCCGGTCGTGGCGGGTCGTGGGGGCTGTGGAGGTCTGCGGCGGAGTCCGTGGAGGTATGTGGGAAAGAGATGATGTCGAGAGCATGTCGATGTGAGAAGGAGGCATCGTTTTGGATCGCTGCGGAACACTGCAGAAAAAACTGGGAATCAAGATGAATGAACATGAATTAACTATGTGTGTTCAGCGCAGTTGAGCTGGTTATCAAGTTATCGGTTCCTTTGCTGCTTCGTTGTCGCATGCACCGTCCCATGTCCCACATGGGCGCTGAAAGAGCTTGCAAAGGTTGACCCAGAGGATGTCAACGTCAAGACGGAGTGCCCCTTAGCCAATGCACTGGATTCTCTGGATGAAGCATGCCAGGGTGAGCTGTGCTTTCGCGGCCGCAACATCATGATGGGTGCCTAGGTGACGCAAGTGTAGGGCTTCCCTCATTTTCTCCCTTTTCAGGATCTAGCAATCACTTGCAATGGTAGTTCAGCAGTTAAGCCTCCAAGTTTGTTATGATTCCATATGTGTTGAAGAACATGTTGGGAACTGTAGCCTACAAGACGACATGGTGCTCGGCATCTCTTTGTTATGAGCCACAGCCATAGCATGCCATGTTCCCGCCATGGTCCCTTGTTGTTCTTGTAATCAAAGACCTTCGCCTCTTGGAGGGGCATTGCCAGATGACATGTTGGAGACCTGGCCGCGATCCCCAAGGATACCTTGCCCAAGATGAGTTGGGACCGGAACACGTCAAGGAGATCGAAGGAAAGACTGCGGGAACCATCGACAAAGAGGGCTGGTTGCATTCAGGCAGGTGTTCAAGGATCAAGACTTCAAACATGCTTAAGTGGCAGTTGAAGGATTACTCTCGAATCTTGCATTTTCCCACACATTATGTTGCACATCTTGGACATCCGGGCGAGAGGGTTGCTTGACTGGAGGTAGATGTCGTAAATCTTGGCAGCCTGCAGGTGACAAGGGCATTGTCACCACCAAAGGAATGGTGAAAGTGACCGGTCGATACAAGGAATTGATCATTGGAGAAGCCTGGCAATGATTGATCAGGTGAATTGGATTTCTTTCTTTGTGAAGCTTCTTTAACCAAACACCATCCCCAAATCATCCCAAACACCATAAAGGCTTTGACATGTCTTCCTTCGCTCCAAGGAGGGTGGCGAGAATATCGCGCCAGTGCCCATTGAGGATCATATTAAAGCGTGCTGTGATGGCATCAATGAAGTCTTGATGATTGGTGACAAGCGGCAGATTGGCAGCAATGAGACATCATGAGATATGACATGCATGTTGTTGCCTTCGGAATATCCCAAAGAGTTGCAGTTGAATCATGTTACGTCATATCCCACAGCTCGCTAACTGGGCCTTTCGAAAGGACTCACCCAGTTCCAAGCTTCGAGCCTTTGACCCTGGGTCTTGGTGCACCCGCACCGGTGGTGCAAGAATCACTGGGGCTTGGGGGGCATGGTTGCTTGCAACCATATCGAACAAAAAGGGGCCTGATTTATGTTCCATGACTCCACTAGCAGGCGCTAGCATGTATGATTAAACATGTTCTATTTTACTTCAGCTGACTGAGGAAATTCAACGTGGCATTGCCCTTCGGCTTCAAGTTGGTTTGCCGCTCTTTCTGGATCTTTTTCATGTTTTTTTCCCTTTCATGGGAAGGCCCTTGGTTGACCAAGATAGGAGTGGAACATAAAACTCTTCAATAGAGCGCCAGCTCAATGGCCAATGCTTTGAAGAGTCTATCTTTTGCCGGTGCTCCCGCGGCTCTAGTGTCGACTGACTTTCTGGAGGCGTCGTTTCAGGCCTTTGAAAGCTGGTTTCCTCTTCTAGCGGGAAGAGTTGATTTGTCCTTTTCAGTCCTCCTTTAGCAGAGTTCGATGCGAAAACTGCGTACAGGATCACCTTGAAAGCCGTGGGCGCCAATGGCGAGACGCCGGGCACCAATCAGCTGGATGCCGGCGCTGTGAGGGTGAATCCGTCGGTGAAGACCATCACTGCAGCTGGGAGAGAAAACGTTGAAGTTGAAGAAAGGGTCATGTTGACCGTGGATGAATAGAGAAATAAAGAGTTCCCACTTCCCAGCCTGGAGATGGTTCTAATCATCCTGACGTAGCTGGGTAGTGCGAACCAACAGTCAACCTTCTTCGATGTGTTAAGTTTTGGCCCTTGAGCATTCAGGGCCTTTGGGCATATGTTTCTTGTTCGATCTCTTTGGTGGGCTCCAAATTCCAGATGTTTGTGGCACTTGTGGCATGACATTCAAATCGTCCTTTCTTGCACCTGTATGGCTTTTTGAATTTTATCACGCGTTGACATTGCTACAAGAAAGGACATGGTCCAGGCATTTTCTCCCTATAGTCGATACAATTTGGGTCCGTCCAATTACCTGCAACAGGACCCACAAACAATTATCACTATATTGAAGAAAGGCCTATAGCAACCATCATTATCCACTGGCAACCAGGTAATAGGATTTTCTCCCGCCGATACAATTACTTGAGTCCAACTAAGTTGGTCCCACCATGCATGGTGATGCAATCTTTCTCCCCTCTAGAGCCACTCATTCCAGCGGGTTCAACGGCAGTGTTCGTCCAGGAAGCTATGGACGATCAAGTTTGGATCGAAACCATCACTGCGGCGGTCCAGAAAACCAACGCCAATGGGAAGGCGCCCGCGTTGGCAGCCGCGCGCGGCGTGGCGTGTGGCGCGGTGCGAGTTCCTGGGCGTCTGATGACGCAGCGTGGAAGGTCGGATGAAGAGTTTGCAAAGCGCCATGATGCATGATGAGAGGCTCAGGAAAAGCCTGTCCCCTGTCCATCCGGCGTGAAGACAAAAAGACGTAAAGGCCGTTCGTCCAGCAGGGTCTCCAGCGGGCCTTTTCGCAGCAAGGCGTTGTTTTGGTGTTTTGGCCACTGGGATGCAAGACAAGTGTGAGGTTGAGAATTGATTGTTTGGGGGGATGAAGAATGGTAATTCTTTGAGAATTGTCAATGGATTTCGGGGATACCTAATTTTTGCTAAGGGCCCTTGATGTCAGATGGTTTAGGGATGGCGTGGCATCACCTTGGTGGGAAGTCATAAGAAAAGAATAAGGAGCCGACCCGGTTGGCCCTTCTGGACACCGACGTGTGCAATTGAGTCGTGCATGAGTTGCTTTCAAATTGCACATCCACGGCGATGAGTCTTCCCACTCGCCGAAAGTGTATGGATCGCCATTTTGGGATTGTGACCAGCCAGGCCTCTTCAATGCGCTAACCGCACACGGCGTCCGAACTGCCGAGCCGCTCGGACAGGTCTGCCCGAACAATGCCTTCAAAATACAGAAGTTCATGGTGTTGCCCACGAACTTCTCTGAAGAGCAAGGGTTCTTGACTCCCACCAAGAAGATGAAGCGGCCAGTGGTGGAGAAAGCTTTCCTCAAGCAGATAGAGATGATGTATAAATCTGCTGATACCTATGTTCGCTATCGTGATTAGATCCAGTGGCCCGGCTAAAGCTGCCCAGTTGCCGAGCAAAATGCCGGGAGCTGCGTTGATCCCAAAAGTGGGGCCGGAGCTGCGTTGACCTCCCAAGTTGGCCAAGCCAAGCTTGTACCATTTGAAGCACCATGACATGCTCGCAGGGGTCCAAGCCGGATGAACGGCAAAAGAGGGCTGACGGCTTACAGTTTTCTGAGTTGAAGTTGATGGAAGATGCGAAATGCAACCATGACGCTAGGATTCCATGTATTTGATGCCAGGAGTGGTTGCCCAATTAATAGAACACCGAGGCAAGTCACAACCATGGAAGTCTTCAAGCCCTAAGAATCACAGGCCCAGAATGTGCCCCGCTCCTGTGCCGAGGTAGCAATCCTAGAGATCCAAGAAAGGACAGCAGTCCCCACCTATGCCCACCCAAGCTTGGCGACCAACATCATATACTAGTCGACTTATACGTATGTATATATACTTATAAGGCGGTGTCTTAAGAGAAGCGCAACTACTAGGCTGCACGAGACGTCAAAAAGTTCATCCACAAAGTCTCGACGTCAGAACATCGGGCCATGCCATGCGATTCCATTGCGCAGAACTTCCATCAGCTCTCTTGGCAATGACCTACCATCACTTAGGTATACCCATCAGCTACCCCCGCGGTTTAAAAGGATTAAACAGGGCGAAGACGAACATGACAGCTAGTCATGACGTGGGGGGCAGTTCATCACTTCTGGTGGTGATGGAGATGCTGTAAATGACTCATTGATCATGGGTTGCCTCCTTCACCACCAGGCTTTGCGAATCAACATCGACCCTTCCTTCAACAACACCTCCGTCCCTTTGCACGCATCGCGCATGTTTGGCAGCGTGTGGCTGTCTCCTCCAGACTCCGGCCCTTTAGGTCTCCGTGCGAGTGCCAGAAGACCTGGCCGGGCAGACGCCTCAGAAGCCGATTTGCCGTCCCACCAAAAGTGAAGAAACATGTGGGGCGTAGCTTTGGCACTTGTGATGGGACGTTCATTCAGCCCGTCGGAAGGAAGGGAGGTTTTCCAACAGCAGGGAGCGGAGAAATGGGTGAGAAGTGGCCTACAAGGACCATTAAAGAACGGTTGTTGCCGTAGTTGAACCAATAATTGTTTGGTGAAACGCCATTAAAGCAATATTAATGTAAAAACAATAGTGGTCGGAAGCCTAGGCACTCCAAAAACTTCATTCTGACCGTTGAGTCACAAGAATCCCAGACAGCCACTGTCACGCCCAGGATATCCAGTCTTTAGGTGGTATCGCATAACTTCACTACCTGGCGCTGATGAAGCTCCAGGGAAGATGGATTAGTTTTACAACTATTGTACATTTTCTGAAGCATCTTCAACCTACAGATATAACTTTCCTGAAACATCACTGGTGTCTTTTCTTTCTCTTCGAGATCCCTGTGTGCAGAAGTCACTAATTAATCTGACAAACATGAATGTGAACATTGTGCATTCCCTAGCTCCATGCTTCCATGTGTACTTTTAACTCGCACATTGTGCATGGCAGGTATGTAGAACTTAGACATTCACGCAATATCCCAGTTTTACTGGACCCTTTCTTGCCAAGTCATGTTCTTGATGCCTCCCTGAAGCTCCGTTTAGATTGCCCGTGAATTACAAGTGAAGTTGGCCACCCACAAACAACTACGCCGAACACGTGAAGGTTTGAGTGACTGCTTACCTTTGCCCATGAATGCATGTTTAAGATAAGTTTACCGACTGTCCACATTTGCCCATGAATGCATGTTCAAGTTTACCTTGACCGCGTTAAGTTGACCCCAACAGAGCAAATATGAGCAAATCACTTAACTATTGAGATTTGTTTCAATGAAGCTTGCTGAAACACCCCAATATTATTGCGAATTCCAAGTTTTGCCTGTGCATGCACGTGAATTTGGCCCCCCAACAATTCATGGCCTGAGAGAAGCTTTCTTTTAGGAGCTGTCGCGGCATATGATGGGTTGATTGCAGAGAATGTGTCTTGCAATGCGAGCTTCTCACCTTGCCTGTGTCGGCAGCAAGCCATCATATTTCAATAAATTTGCAACATGTCCATTAATCTCGGTGTAGGTGTGTTTCTTCTGTATGTTGCGGGACTTATCACTCAAGGCATGGAGCAGTTCCTTCACACGGCGAGATATGCGTTGCACATTACGTGAAATTTGTGGCACCCGTTTGAAGACTTTAGATACTCCTTGCAAGAATTACAACACATAAAACTTTCTTTGGACCAATGATGTTTCAATCATTGCTCAATACATTAAACTGTGACGTTGGAAAGGCCAGATTGGCTACGGTAGTTGCACAGGGGTCAATGTAGGCATTGTCTTCCTGGAGACCCCTGGCCCATGCCATCCTCCATGGACCACGTGTTTGTTGGAGAACGAGGGTAGCTGCAGATCAAGAGCATCAGCCTTGGTTGGACGACTAGCTGCAGCTAGCGAGAGTTGCTTTTCTTAGCTCGGTTTTGATGAGGGACCCTGGAATTCAGACGAGCAAGTGGTTCATAGGATCTTGCAAAGCTCGAGTCTGGTCAGGTTGGATGCTTCCTTGAACGAAGCATATCCGTGCAGTTCTCAGGGGGATGCAGCATCAGCATCCCTTGATCCATCATGATTCTAAGTCTATGGTGTGCCGTCAAAATGAAGAACATCAGCTGTAGAAGATCGTGTTGACTGTTGATCGATAAAGCCCATATCCTTCATCAACAGCCAACGGCAGGCATCTACTTTTTGTGGGATGGGCTTTTGACCACCTGCGAGCGACCGGGATTTGACATCATTTGGACGGACCATCTCGGGCATGAGACTCCACCATGGCCACATGCAGTCGGATACAAACATGGCAGACGTGGAGTTTTCGTATAGTTAGTTGATGGTAGTTGTACTGCATTAGCTATGAGAGCCTAGAATGGCATTCATAGCTGCTAATTAGTTCAAGTTGTGTGTTGGATCGTATCAACCTCCCTCAGCACGTCCTTGACTGCTCCATGTGCAGCCGTTTGCCCGTTGGAGCTAATGATGCTTCTTTGTGTTTCTTCCAGTCTGTGATATTCCTGGACGTCCGCAGCTTCTGTCTCATCAGCTTGCTTTCCGCTGTGGGCCAACACCCACCATGCATAGGCCCGGCATGGTTTGCGAAGAGACTACGGTTCCTGCACATATATAGCGCACGGCTGATGAAGTCACTCAGTCTTTAGTGCCGATAAGGCCCGAGCTGCTCCGCTTTCTTTTTGGACACTGATGGCTATTAGGAACAACATTCCGCGAACTCCTACGTTATAGAATCTTACCAAGTGGACCTTTGCCCCTAAGAACGTGCGATAAAGCCTTTGCATCTCGTGTTTGTTTGGAAAGATGGCTTTTGTGGACCAACAAACTATTCAAGCATTTTGGACATGAGGATTTAACACATCAACAGGGTAGGGGTGTTCTTGATGACTTGGGTCTTTTCCAAGCCCCCCCTTTGGAACTCTGGTCGATTTGGGCGCATCGAACCAGGGCGTTTCCACGCCCCGTCCTGCACCTCTTGACCAGATCGATCCATGGATTCGTCAGGTGGCCGAGGAGAGGTTGTGTAGTGTTAAGCTTGGATTAGATCCTCATGGAGAGGTATATGTTCATTCTACATTCTTGATGTAAAGAGGTCATTCTTGATATGGATAATCACTGAAAGAGGTCTCCCCCTTGTCACCACCATGGTATACCACTTACTCGGGGGTTAGCACAGCTCGTCACTCATCTTGACAGGCAAAGGGGAGGACACCATTGCACAGAACCGACAGACAAAACATTAAGGCCATGGACCACCTCTCATTAGACAATCCAGTTTGAGTGGATTCAGTGAAAAGCATCCTCTGATATAATTAATAATCAGGTATAACATACAGTATATACACACGCACGCTAGTGGTTCACTCATGACACTCTGAAGTGGCTGATCACTTGGGCCATTTTTATGGGCCATTTGCAACTATTTGCAACTACGGGAACCCCCGCTGAGACCTTCCGCCAGAGATCCCAGGATGTTCGGTCACGACTCCTCGCGCAAAGAGGTGCCGAAGCTCGAGGGCCGACTCCTGGACTCCTGCTACTAGGACGCTACGAAGGGGGGGATCCTGGCCTTACTAGGAGCAAGGACGCTACTAGGAGCAAAGGGCATCGCTAGTGTAGACTCTTGATTTATAAACTCCCCCCCCCTCAACAACCAAGGCCTCCAATATAATGTATAAGAAAATCAATAAGGAATCCTTAGCTAGCTACCTCTGGAGCTACTCTGGCAATACTAAAATGAAAGGAATCAAGAAACCTAACTTTGAAGACATCTGGAAAGCCTTAAAATGAAAAGGGATCAATGAAACCTCAGATTGAAGACATCTGGAATATTACAATAAAAGGGAATCAATGGACATAGAAATGGACATGGAACTAACTCTTTAAATTTAAATGGAAATCTGAATCCAAAGACCTGCAAAATCATTCAATCTCAATGGAACTCTCCAAGTTTTCAATGGAAATCTGAATCCAAAAGACCTGCAAAATGAAACTTTTGGACAGCTTAAAGACTAAAGAGCTTGGGTAAGTAAAGCAAACCAAAAGGAAAAGAACGGGAATGAATACAAGTTTACTTAAAGCAACATATTTTTTTTAAGCCTGAACTCTCTAGACATTATTCTAAGGCCCCCCTAAATAATGTCAGAAAGCTGCTTGCTGGACTACCCCCTTTGCTTGAATGATGTTGTGTTGTTTCAATACTTTTGAATAAGGGATTTTGTAAAGAAAGTGTGCACAATTGTTTTAAACTTTTGGAAAGCTTGAAGACTAAAGAGCTTAGGTAAGTAAAGCAAACCAAAAGGAAAAGAAAGGGACATCTTCAAATGTTTAATAGAAATCTCCATCCAAAAGCCTCCAAAAGCATCAAATCTCAATGGAAATCTTCAATTTTTAAATAGAAATCTCCATCAAAAAGCCTTCAAAAGCATCAAATCTCAATGGACATCTCCAAATGTTTAATAGAAATCTCCATCCAAAAGCCTGTAAGATAAGCAAATCCCAGCAAACTCAAAAGGGAAAAAGTAAACTATAACAATAAAACATATCCCACTACAACTACCCCTCCCCCCCCCAAAAAAAAACATTATATATTCTGGGGGCCTTTATAAATCTGTGCAGGAAAAACCGTCATTATTCTAGGGGCGCTTATAAATCCAGGGTCTACATTACTAGGAGCAAGGACTCCTGGTATATAGTTCTTCATTCTTCATCCCTTGGATCCCTTGAATCCCTGACCGGGGTAAAGCTAACTCCGTTAAAAAAAACGCGATCCCGTTGGATTGCACAGGTCTCATGACCGCATGGTCTGAAGCACCAGGCGGGAGTCCACTCGCACCGGGCTAAACCGGGGTCAAAGTAAAAATCGATGGACAAATCGTAATCGAGGTCCAAGGTTCGTTTCACATATGTTCACCACTTGTGGCCCGTTTCTTTGGTTCTTTCCAGCCATGACGCATCTCTTGCGCCAGATGACTTAGGTTGGTCCGCTTAGATGGTTGAGATCCTCGGTGGTTTCAACTTCCGAGGTGTCACAGTATACGGCCCAACGCCATTTGTGAGGATTCATATTTCAGTCACGGGCCATCTCGTATATGGCTCTCCAGTTGCTGTGGAATACCACTAGTAGGGTTGAAACTGGGTTCAGACGCCTGTGGGCCAACCTGACTAACGCAACATCTCCATTCGTGTCTCTGTTCAAAGGACCAAATGTTCATAGACGTTCCCCTTATCAAGACAATCAGAAGCTTTCGAACGGTTTGGTGCTATGTCAGTGGCTTGGCATTCTTCATGTCACAGCAATCTGAAGGGCCACATGACTTTCGCCTGTGCACAGGCCTAGTGAATAGCATTGTGCTATGACCTATCAGGATTGTCCCGATTTCCATTCCAGCTTTGTTGCCAAATCAATGTAATTTGTGTGTATGCACACTGCCTAGTACACTAACTACACTTGCGTGAAGTTGAATTACTAAAGGCTGGACGCAGCCCTGAAGTGGAGTGGCATTGTGTCACATGGAGGCTTGAAGCCTGAGATATGGCAATAACACCTCGAAGGAGCTTGTGTTTCATTTGACCCATTCGAAAGGTTGTAATATGTTGTAATGAAACCGAAGGTGTCTCCTCCCATGCCCTGCCGTTCTGCCAATCCATACCTCAGCATGCAGATTGCCACCAAAATTGATCTTCCACGCAGGTGCCAAAAATCGGGGCCGAAAATAGCAGTGATCCCTGTGAAACTTGTATCTACACAATTCTGAACATTGACCTTTCGATGTCACAAGACTGATACGACAAATTGCTCAAATCCCTTTGTGGCAATGTGATGAATCGATGGCAGGGCGCGGCATCCTTGAGCCAACCACCAAGGGCAGCGTCTTTGGGCCCTATTTAGGGGCCGCGTCATGGTCGGGGCGGCGTGGATTCGGGGGGCGAAATCTTGGGGTTACCCGCAATCAACCAGCAGATTCCATTGAAGGTATCGGGGATGTGAGGGGGGGTTCCCTGTGATGTCCTGTGGGTCAATCGAACATTCCCTATGCCAGCATTAAGCACCATGCAGATCAGGGAGATCAGAGGTATTTACAACCTGCTTCACCCTGCTTCACCCGCACCGATAAAACCTTGTGGCGCACGAGGCGTCGTGTCCACGCTGCGGCGATACCTTGCTCAGCGACTCGCGCTTTTGCCGCTGCTGTGGACATGCCCTGGGCACTGATCTGGGTGCGCCGTACACAGAGGCTGGGCGAGGTTGTGGCAATGAGGTGTGCGTTGTTTGATCATTTTTGTTGTTTGTTGGTCCAACCTTCATCAATGTCCATTGCCCATCAGTAATTGGCATGCCTTTGCTTGTGTGACCATGTGTGATACAAAGTTGTTCCAAATGGTTCCAACTGTTTGTTCCAACCTTCAAGGCATTTGATATCCTTGGTACTTTAGTACCTTTTGCAGCGAGGATTGGAATGATTTCAATCAATCAGAGGTTGTGATTCTTTGAGTTTGACAGGACAATCACTTTGAACGGGTTTTGGAGGTGTCATTCGGTGTCATACTATGGTTTTACCGTCCACACGGGGACATCGCAGGACTCGAACTCGGCGACGGATGGCTTGCAGTTCCTGTGTGCCTGGGGAGCAGTTGGCGTCGGCCGACGAATAGACGTGACCAGGGTGACGACATGGGGTGCATGATCCATTGACGACATGGGACGACTATAGTGGGACGTCCGGTCGCTCACCGCGGCACGAACTCCGATTTACTGCGGTGAGCGCAGTAACGATGAAGAGTTGGACACACCTGATGATTGGTTCAGGTGGTTCACAGCAACAAGGTGTTTCTTTTGCTTTCGAGTCACTTGTAACCCGAATCTTCGCCGGGAGGGTTCATTGGTTCAATCGAGATGGAGCGAGTGACTTTCTTCCATCCACTCGATCGAGTCGATAGAACACACCTGGCGACACTTGGTTTGGGCCCTGTTGAGCAGGAGATGGACACTCCAAAGTACCTTGGAACATAATTAATGGAACATTACTATAAAACGGGACAAGCACTCCTTGACCCATATAACAGCAGGTACCTGAGTGCCCATTTTCCAAGACACTTTTGAGACTCCAGGTAGATGGAGAAATCAGTGGAGAAATCTACACGCGGTCATTTGACCACTCCGCATTTCGCTGGGAGAGGCATCAACAGGATGACTCACCACAGGTGCTAGTTCTTGAAAGTACTTGACCCTTTTTCTGACTGCAGACAAAAGCACCTCGGGGCTGGCTCTCCTTTGCCTTAATCCTCCAGCCTGCGAATGCGTGAAGCAATGGTTGTATGTGAAAGTCTTGCGGTAGCACAGTGCGCGACCGTCTTCCCTGAAGATGTGTAGATTCACCAACTGACTGCACCCGCTGCGTCCGAACCATTTCTTTGCTATATGTTTGAATTTCATTGGTGAAGACTGGAGATGTTCATTTTCTACATCGTTCCACACTAGACTCCACACAAAACGTGGAACCCAAAGTTTGAACCGAAGGCGCCTCAGCTCAAACTCAACGGCTGTTTGTTCCACCGGCAGACGAGAAGATAAGGGATAAGAGTGCATGTTTGTAAGAAACGAACCTGGAAGACCCTGGGATAACCGCGTTGAGGACCCTCGCGTGGAGTTTTTGTGAGGACCAAGTGACCGAGAGCGCTTCACTTCGGAGTTCCGAGGCTCGAAGTACTCTGCTCTCATCACCCGGCTTCGAGAGGAGGCACCGGGCTGGCCTCATAGGGTGGAAGAGATTGGGAACATTGTGCCAAGTTCTATTGAGTGAGCTGGTTTGTGTGTGTTTCTTTGTTTTTTTTAATGTTTTTTGCTTGGGTTTTTCGTTTTCACCAAACTGGTGGCTTTTAAAATACATTTAGGCACTGCAGAACCGATAGATGAAAGATCCTGAGCTCGTTCTCCACAATGATCCTCCCTAAAAACCTCCCCCCGATTTGGAGTGATTCCCTTTTGGATCATGACAGACCATTAGTAGACCATTGTAGACCATGCAGGACCACGTCATGTTTTCAGGGACCAGGCGGACCAGGTCCTTGGAAGATCCGTGATGAAGACCCGCCCATTTGGGCTGTGGGTCCTGAAAAACCCCGGGGAACTGACCGGTGGACCGTGGTAGGTGGACCGGGGCCCCAGTGGTTTGGTGGTGGCGTTTGGAGAGGTTGGAAATCAACAGTACAAAAATCCATCAACATCCAAGTGGATCATAGTGGATCCATGATTTTCCAAAATCTTCCAAAACAGGTTTCCATGACAATTTCTCGTGTTGCTTCTTCCTGTCTCCCATGGTGTTCCCACCACTTCATCCAGCGCTTACCACGTCCGGACGCGCAGGTCCTCGCACATCAACAGGCCCAAGCCGAGTGCCGACGCTTGGAGCGGCGACTTCGTGGCCTGGCCGATGGGTTTCAGAGGACCAGATGGGTTGGACGCGTCCTTGCTCGCTCCGTTCGAGTCGCGATGCCAGTTGCTCCGTTCGTAGCGTCCTTGTTCCTAGTAGTATGGCCAGGAGCCCTTATACTAGCGTTTCTATCTCCCCTGAAACAAGCCACAAATGGTGTGGGTCCGATGGGATCGTTGGCAGCGGGGACCTGAAGAAAAAGAAACCCACGTGCTTCTTTTGGGGGGGGTTGGTGTGACAAATCAGGTCAAATCTGTTTGATTGATAACTGTCCTTGTTCAAGGCTTTGTGAAGGAACAAATCTAAAACGACAAGGAGCACAAACCAATCATCAGTCAGTTACGGCACGGGAAGGAACCAGCCATTTGCAGGTGTTTCTTCCTGGTGCCCTTGATGCCTTGCCCGGTGGATCCTCTTCAGACGCCCTGGTGGTGGTTCGACCGGGATCGGCACTCCAAGGCGAGGAGTCGCAATCCTGGGCGCAGGCGCTTTCCGGTTTGCCGGTCAGGGCGGGTGGACGGAGCGAAAAAAAGAGGCTCAACAGATTTGAGACACATCTGAAATCGTAGACCTGGTGAATCCAAAACCTCCATGTGATACAGATTTTGCGTTGAATCGAGGTTTGAAACATGTAGAGCCTGGTTTCGGCTCATGGCCGTGTTGTAGAGTGCCTTGAAACATGTTGAGAATCGAGGTTTTGCACCAATTGCACACCATGTATATAAGGCATGCATGCTTCATCAGTTAAGAGATTCTGCTTCAAACTTCAGCAGTTGGCACCAAAACCTTCCTATCCAACTCACTCCTCGGCTGAGTTCCTCACGCAAAAAATGTACATGTCCTGCGCCAGACAAAATGCAGCTGTACATCGTAGGTGTAAGCTAAGAAGCTAAGCCACCACTTCGCACGTGAGGAGAAGGAGCAGTTGATGCTGGACCTTCAGCGCCTCCGTGTAGAGGTTGACAGCCTCAATCGGCTGGCAGAGAGGCCAGGAATGGCATGTGCACTCACCCCTGTCATGCCGAGTCGGGCCGGAGGTTCTCAAATCCGCATGAAAGGCAGGGCACACATGGAAGGCTGAACGGAGCGAGAGTTGGGGCATGGCCCGGCAGGAGATGAGTCCCAAGAACATGTTGCCCATTGTCATTAGGCCTCACTAGGCAATGATAGGTTCAAGGACTTTGCCTAGGGATGCCTATGGCAACCTGTCATTGCCCAAGATAATTCAATGCCTATCAAGATACCTATCAAGACCCTCAGGCAGCGTGCAGATGCTCCGTGCAAGCCAGCGAGGCGGGCGGCCGACTGGCAGCTTCGCCTTTGGTGTTGGGATGTGTTGAGATGGATTTGCTGATGTTTAAAGGCCTGGCCTGTAGCAGCTGAGAGGATCCAAAGGTGGATGGCCCTACTCAGGGGGATTTGTTCAGATGCCTCTGGTTTGTTTGAGGGGAACGCTCCGACCAAGCGAGTGGGAGTGGCTGGTTGTTCAGGTGCCACAACCTTGGCATGTGAGGTGACGAGTTCTTTTTTTTAGTGTGCTCGATTTCGTTTGAGTTTGGGAGTGCGCTATATAACCAAGTCAAACGGTGGTACTTCCAAACTAATCAATCTATAGTATTTAGTTATCACTTTGGTGGTTTCATGAATCTTCCAAGTCGTCTCCAAACCTCCACCTTTCAATGTGTTAAGCAGCAGGTACGCTGCTTCATCTGCTCCAGAGTGTGTGTGTGTGTGTTTGACCCACAGGGCTCCAGGTCTCCAAATCGTGCGGTGATTCTCAGGGAACATGGGGCCAAAGAGCTTCATCCTCAGCCCGTCCTGGTCTCAGACGGGGGAAGGGGAAGACAGGGGAAGACGACGGAACGTCAGGCGGTGAAAAGAGGTCGCGTCGACGGCGTTCCGAGGTTTGCATCACTGGGAAAAGGCCCACAGTCACCCAGGAGGTTCATATGTTCATATATTTTCACAGGTTCAGTCCGACTGACTACATAGCAATTTATTCAGCTGTGGCACATGTGTGCCACGGCCGGGAGGTCAGAGTCCCATATCTGAAGTCAGCAGCTCCAAGACCTAAGAGTCTTACGCAGACCAGAAAAGGACGTCCAGATTTAGAAGAAATGATGCCTTTCACGCACATGACTTGCACAATGTCCTGCATCACCATGAGGTGAAATGCAAGGCAACATGAACATATGTCGAAGTACTGCTGCTTGCTGAGAAACTGCTCAAGCGAGCTAAGAGAAAGGAAGGCCATGTATCCGAGCAAATCGGTGCAACTTGGGGATGAAGAACTCCTGGAAATTCAGATTGTGGGCGTCAGTGGAGATGGATTCCACGTCCATGTGCCCAAGTCCCTTACCGGCTCTGAGCTTCGCAGAATCATCCGGGATCGACTTCCATCGAAACCTGGAGCAAGAGTCGCAGTGATGAAAGGAACTCAAAAGCTTTCATTGTCGAAGACTTTGGCCCAAGAAGGGCTGGCACAAGGGGAACCGACTTCTTTGTCCTATGCCTATGAGGTGGCTAGCTTGCACGACGCTTGGAGATGCCTCCAAGGTCAGCCCGTTGAGGATGAGTCGATGGCTCTTGAGGGGATACTGCAGCTACAAGGGCTGGATAAGACGGCTCCGCTGACGAACCTTGTTAACCTCAAGAGCCTTACCTTTGGCTGGAACTTCAACCAGATTCTGCAAGGAGTGGCTTGGCCCAGCGGCCTTCAAAGTCTTTCCTTTGGAAATGAGTTCAACCAAAGTCTGGAAGGAGTGGCTTGGCCCAGCGGCCTTCAAAGCCTTTCGTTTGGCAATAGGTTCAACCAGAATCTGGAAGGAGTGGCTTGGCCGAGCGGCCTTCAAAGCCTTTTGTTTGGCAATAGGTTCAACAAGAATCTGGAAGGAGTGGCTTGGCCCAGCGGCCTTCAAAGTGTTTCCTTCGGACATTCTTTCAACCAGAGTCTGGAAGGAGTGGCTTGGCCGAGCGGGCTTCAAAGTCTTTCCCTTGGTGGCGCTTTCAACCTGAGTCTGGAAGGAGTGGCTTGGCCCAGCGGCCTTCAAAGTGTTTCCTTCGGACATTCTTTCAACCAGAGTCTGGAAGGAGTGGCTTGGCCGAGCGGGCTTCAAAGTCTTTCCCTTGGTGACGGGTTCGACCAGAGTCTAGAAGGAGTGGCTTGGCCCAGCGGGCTTCAAAGCCTTTCCTTTAGTGACGAGATCGACCAGAGTCTGAATGGAGTGGCTTGGCCCAGCAGCCTCCAAAGTCTTTCCTTGGGCGGACTCAACCAGAGTCTAGAAGGAGTGGCATGGCCTAGACAGCTTGAAAGTCTTTCGTTTGGTGACGAGTTTGACGAGAGTCTGAATGGAGTAGCTTGGCCCAGCGGCCTTCAGAGTCTTTCCTTTGGCAATATGTTCAACCAGAGTCTAGACAGAGCGGCTTGGCCGAGCGGCCTACAACATCTTTTCTTTGGCGATAGGTTCAACCAGAGTTTGGAAGCTGTGGCTTGGCCCAGTGGCCTGCAAAGCCTTTCCTTTGGTGATTGCTTCAATCAAAGTCTGACTGACACGTCTTGGCCCAACGGCCTTCAGAGTCTTTCATTTGGCAGTATGTTCAACCAGAGTCTGACTGGCATGTCTTGGCCCAACGGCCTTCAGAGTCTTTCATTTGGCAATATGTTCAACCAGAGTCTGGAAGGACTGGCTTGGCCGAGCGGCCTTCAAAGTCTTTCCTTTGGTGGCGCTTTCAACCAGAGTCTGGAAGGAGTGGCTTGGCCCAGCGGCCTTCAAAGTCTTTCCCTTGGTGGCGCTTTCAACCTGAGTCTGGAAGGAGTGGCTTGGCCCAGCGGCCTTCAAAGTCTTTCCCTTAGTGGCGCTTCCCACCAGAGTCTAGAAGGAATGGCTTGGCCCAGCAGCCTTCAGAGCATGTCGATTAGCTCTTGGACCATGGCCTTCAGGAGAGCACATTGGCCAAGCTGCCTTGAGTCTTTGGAGGTGACGGGCCCTAGATCGGAGGTTGCGCAAATGGATCTTCCTTTGGCTTTGCGAAGGTTTCAGTGCCAAATCGAGGAGGAGTTCGAGGATGACCTTTTCGAGGGGGACTTCGAGGATGATTTCAACCACCAAGGTTGGATGATCTCAACATTTGACGCTTGATTGGACAAAAATGAAGCCGTTGCGAGCTTGGCTCCGCACCCAAGAATGAATATGTTGAATGTTGACCACATGTTCAGACCTTACCGTCCCTTCTCTTGTGCCCAGGTCAAGCCTGCAGAGGCTGACACGAACGCGTGGCATCAATACGAGGCGCAGCATCTAACGTGAGTCCGATGGGTGGTTAAACATAAAAAACGGAATGCTTCTGGACAGGCCACAGGGAGCCGGTTTTCTTTGACACATGCATCGGGGTTGATATGTGGAGTACGCGTCATGGTCGAGGTTGTGGTTGTCGTCATGGTCGTTCGTAGTCGTTGCATTCGTGGTCTTGGTCGTGGTAGTCGTTACATGTCGTATAGTATAGCCGTCGTAGTCGTAGCCGTAGTATAGTAGTAGTCGTCGTCGTAGTAGGAGTAGGAGTGGGAGTGGGAGGAGGAGGAGGAGCAGCAGTAGCTTGTTGTTGTTGTTGTTGCTGTTTGCTTTTGGTATTGTTTTATTTTGTTTTTGGAGATCCAATGAGATCCAACTTTTTGTCGGGGCAACTGAAACTGCAGTATTTCTGTGCTTCCTCATGGTTTTCCCACACCTATAGTTGGTGGATGTTGGTGGTGCATTTGCGCCAGATATTTCAATATGCGCAATAGAGACGTGTGGTTGCACCGGGGTCCGGGGTCCAAGCCCGCAGGCGCAACAGAAACAGCACCAGCAGATGATGTCGCTCCTCAACGAGCACAGTCAGTTGCAGGCACTGTGAACAGTTCCAGCAAGTTCTGATCGGAAGACATGATGTTGGGTCGGGTGTGCCTGCAGGAGTGAATTCAACACCGATTTTGATGCAAACTCGCTGCCTGAAAGCATTGAGTGGGCTAAAGCTTGGAGAACCTTCTCATGCGAACAGGTGGGGAAGTACATGGGTACAGGTCCCGCATAAAACATTATTTTCTGTGTGACGTTTAGGTCAGGTCAGGTACAACAGTGTTGAATTCACACATGGTCACCTAAGGGTCACCTAAGTATAGAAACCATATTCCTGCCAATATCGATCCGGTGGTCCTGTCATTCTTCGCAGGTCGAGACCCGCGATGCACAAGATGAGTTGACCGCTTGCAGAGATCACTTGGCACGTGGCGTGGCTGATGAGCTTGAAGAACGGATGTGCTGGGATTCTCCTGGAACAAGAATGGGTATTAAAAGGGAACAGGGGCGGCAAAGAAGTTCACATAAGAATATGTAAGAACTGTGTATATATATATATATACAGTATATAGTATATAGAATTTGTTTCCTCCAGTGTTGCCCTTTGATTGGCCATTGTGGCATTTAGCATCAGGAAGGCTGCAATTATATGTCAAATTGGTTCCTGATTCCTCATTATAGTTGCTTCGACTATCATATTCTATGTCTATCAAACATGCACCTCCTTGCGAGCCATGGTGTATGAGTTACTGACGAAACACTCAAGGTGGAAAGCAAGAAACACAATTGGCCAATTGGAAGAACATGGCTGCCACGGCCAAAAATTGTGTTCAATAGTTTGAGGAATATTGCCACAAGCTGTGACTGTATATGCATATGTATATATATACATGTAACTTATGACTATATATGTTAGTGTACATATTCAATTTCGCGTTGATTGTGTTGAGCCGTTTGCATAGTGTTTTTCCAAAGGTGCCCTGCCAGGTGCTTTTGTTGTAATGTTTTTGCTGCTGTAGTTGTGTTGCAGTTGCTTACTGTAACATCATGGATGTTTATAATATAAAGTATCCAGGTGGATCAGATTTGCCATATACTTAATTGTTATAATTGATTTGTCTAGGAACGACATGTTAAGAGGTGCCTTCAAAACCCCCATGCCAACAGTGTTGGTGTGTTTTTTTTGTTTCATGCCAGTTTTTCATTGTTGGAGCAAGACCAACAGAAGATCTAGGGAATCGAACGGGATTGATCATGTTTTGACCCATTTTCGAGACGTCCCTCTCAGACGTGCTCCTGCCTCTCATGTCTTCCTCGGACCGAGGCTGGCGCCGCAAGGCCACCGACCTGGAGACTCAGAAGATGACCGCGGAGCGGCACCGCGAGGACGCCGAGAAGAAGGTGCCGAGGGGGCCGAGACCTTCCGAAGGGGTGATGGAAGTACGTTGTTGACCCAAACCCGATCCGGGGTGTTTGGGGATCTGGTTTCCAATTGAGTGAATATCAAAACAGGTTAACTCATAATTATATAGTTAACCCTCTATTTGCCAGGGGTACTGAGGCAGTCAGATGGGACGTATGCAGGAGGTGAGTCGACCGATCAGGAGGAGGAGTGTCATTGTCGGTTCATTCGGAAAGGATGATTTTCAAGTGTGATCAGTTGTTGGACGATCTTCAAGTGTGATTGCATGTGCCATTTTCGTGTCAATGGGTGTGCTTGTGGGTTTGTGTTCTTTTTGCGCATTCGATCGGTAGTGGGGGCACAGAATGGTGAACAGCAAGACGTTGGGTGGAGGCTGTGGAGGCCAAACCTTGGGGGGTGAAAAGATGCGTTTTGTCCTATCAGATGATACTCCTTGCACAATTGAATGTTAACTTTTCCCTTCACTTGACCCAATTGCCCTTTTTAATACTGTTTTTTTTGCTGCAGCCCTGAAGGGCCAGAAGAATCTTGTTTGACTGCAAAAACTCAACAAGAATCCCCATACTAAAGAACAGACAAACATTACTGTAGGAATCTGTTTAACAGCCCTTGAGTATCAGCCTATGAATCTGGTGGGGGTTGACCCGGATCCACCCCCCTGTAGGTGTTTTTATACATGTGGTCAGACGCTCTCTCGGAAGCACCCATGACCCGAGACATCCCAACGATCGCCTCCCCCAACCATCGATCCCCTTCGCCAGGCGCGATGCATGCAAGCCGCTGGGTGAGAAGCAGCGGATCGGAGACGTCTCGGCTAGCGGGGGGGCAGGAGATGAGGTCCGAAACGAGCAGGTTTCTTCGTCCGAAGTTGGTTCAAAGCCTTTTTCAGGGAAGCTTTTTGAGCCAAACCCTTAGACAAAATGATTTGTACCTGAGCCATGTCAGAAATTGGCATGAAACCAGCCAGGGAGAGGTCTTTCAGCATCCATGAGCCCATGCGAATTTCTCGGGCAGCCACTGATTCATTCAGTGCACTAGGTCACATCAGTCGTTCGTGCCTCCAGCACAAATTTGATCCTACATGTGCAATACCTGTATATATATATAGTTATTCTGCGACACCGGTCTGCGGCGGGTCGGCCACCTCACCTCTTCACACCCCGGGGACGATGGCACGGGGCGGTGAGAATGCTCTTCCGATCGCCCAGGACGAGCTACGTCAGGCTCTGCGGAGCGCCTCCCTGGCGAAGAGCCGACAGAAGGAAGCCGAGCGCGTGGCCAAGCAGGAGTTGTGGCGTGTTCCGAATGCCAGCGGTTCAGTGCGGTTATGAGTTGATGTGGTTGGCGAACAGACTGGGTTACTATACTCTTGGAGGACTACAATTTGGTTCAACAAAAGCATCAAAAAAGCACTCACCTTACCAGGCTTACGGCTTTGCGGGGTTGTTTGGCATGTTGCGATGGTCAAGTGGCCAGTGGGTCCCTTGTGTTAGCGGGGGTTATAGAAGTTGCTGCCTTTGTTCATTCTAAACTCCTTTTGTTTGGTGGGAGCATGCTAAGCAATCAGGTGCAGGGCCCGAAATCCAGTTGATGGCTGTCAGAAGGGATCGGGGGAACTTCACTTTGGAACTGTTGGGTATGCCATTGCTGTTGCGGTATGCCTTTGCCATTGTCAGCTGTTGGCAGGAGGAGTCACAAGCCAAAGACCTTGAGGAACGCTTAAAGGCCCCGAGAGCTGGCACAGGGAGAGATGCTGAGCGAGCAGCGAATGGGAGCACAGACGAAAGGCTTTATATACCCAGACCATCCCAGACCATCCAGCAAGTGCATCCCAATCTTTATACTATTTACCTACATTGGGGGTGGTTGAAAAGGGGTCAATGTAGGCATATACTGTGCATACATCATCGGTTTGGGTATATACACGTAGATTTGGGTCATACGTGGGGTATGGTAGATATGTGTATATATATATATAACTATTCCAGTCCCATGGATGGTGTGGGATGGATCATTTGGTTACACAGTGCATTTCGATTGTCAGGGGTCAGGGTATAATAATATAGACCTCTAGGCCTCTAGTGGCATGGAACGGTTCCAAATATGGCGCACTCCTCACATCTCCAAGCCATCCTGAAGCATCCTGAAGCCATGAATAAGTAGCATAACATCTCTCATGCCGTCATCCTGAAGCCGCTTTGAGCAGCTCCGATCACGAACCCAGCGCCCGGGCACCCGTGACCAATTGACCGCCATGCGGAGTTTGGTCTTCGCCTCGGTGTGGGCCACGAGCCATGCTGCCGGGGTGAGCGCGCCATGGGCCAGCGCATCATGTCAAGCAGCCCCAGGCTGTGCAGCACTGGAGCTGCAAGGTCATGGCCTCAGGATCCGGAAATTCGGGATGCAGTTCTTGTTGTCTCCTCCTCGGCGGGCTCCTTGGGGGGTTGATGGGTATAAGTTATATGCATTGTCTCTCTATTTTAGTTATAAATGTTATAAATGATTTGGATAGGTCCGGATCCACTGGGATGTGTTGTTCACCCGTCCACGCCCCGCTTTAGGGGAACATGTTGGAGCAGTGGTGCGCTGGTTGTGTCATGAACCATGGGGGAACATGTTGGAGCAGAGCACCCAGCAAGTGGATTGGCGCAGGGCACTACTGGAGCAAGGCTTTTCCCATGTTCCAACTTCCAGATCTGGAGATGTTCACCACAGAACTGGGCATCTCCAAAACTGTGTTGCTCTTCTTTTCAAGGTCTCAACCAGATGCGCCACCGATCTGTTGGTGCCCAAGCGATCAACCACCCGTTGGCTTTTGCGCCATACTTCGGCGCCTACTTCGGCCAGGTGAGTGCTGTCCGAATCCCGAAGGCGCCTGAGA